GGCCACACCATAGGGTAATGGGCAATTCAGTTGGCGCTGTGTTGGAGTGGCAAGTCGTTGGCGATGGTCGGTTTGGCCTCGAAACGCGCCCGGTCAGATCCATCGAGGCAGGGCGCCAACGATGCTCGGAGGGATCGAGACATCCATGGGAACAAATAGACATTTGCGCAATGGTTGCATGTTAAATAAGTTAGTGAGTTCGAGAAAGAGATGAGTTCGGATTGTGGGTTATAGAGGAGGATTCATAGAGCGACGGGCCAACACATTCGAACGGTCGACTATGGCGTCTTGGGCAGGCTGGCCGAGAGGGTTTCATCGGCCTGGGGGGTGGTTTCCTTTGGGTCGGGGCGCACCCACGTTTTGTTTTGGAAGCGGGGACGCGGGTATCCAAACCCGTACGCTCGCGGGGCCAGCGACGATGCGGGACCTCCACCCGGGTACGGCGTCGTTTGGTTGTGTGGTTCGTTGGTCGGGTCGGCTGGATCTCCATTCGCCTTGGCGTCGCCTTCGGCCGACGCAGTCGTCGGGTTGACCCATTTGTTGTTGAAGCGACGAGGGGCACCCGCTCCATGGGGCATGCGGGGCTGGTACGGGCCTCGCGGCATGCCTGGATAGCCAAACCCGGGCATGTGGTGCGGCGGCGGATACGGCGGGTACATAAACTCCTAGATTGAAAAAGCCCATCAGCCCATCCATTCAACATTTCCACACGGTTGCGACGTCGAACACGTACTGGTGGAGGCATGTGGTACGGAGGATAGCCCTGGAACATGGGCGGAAATGGATATGGCCCACCTCGCGGCCCATGGCCACCGGGACCAGGAGGATATCGCAAGTCACTGCCTTTGGGGTCACGAGCGGGACGCTTCGACGGCCGTTGATCACTCTCTTCAACGTCTTTGTTTGATCGAGACGAGCTGTCATCAAAATCGCCGCCACTTTTTCGTTTGTTGTTGGTGTCGCGAGATTCTTGCCGGGATCGATTGTCACCCCTCGAAGCAGCAAGGTCCTTTTTGTCCGTCACGCGGCCACCCAGTCGCTCCGTGATGGACAGCTTCGTGGTCGTCTGTCGAGAGGATTGTGCTGCCGGCTTGTCAAGCTTCTTCTCTGGAATCCCGAAGCGCTCCGACCGAGATTTTAGCGCGTCCTTGAGATCTTTCGAGCTGTTTCCGATGACACGAATCGTACTGCTGGTTTTCCCAGACACTTCGACGGTGGTAGACGATGACTTGACGCCGGAGAGATTGACGATCTTCTTGGGAGGCGCAGCATTTGCCGGTTCCTCGGACACAGGTTCAGGAGACGAGGAAGGGGGAGAAGGCGAGGGAGATGCTTCAGCAGCAGCATTGGGCGGCTACACGATGCAGATCGTGAGCATGTTGTTCGGATCGAATGGTGTCGAGGTGTGTCACCAAGAGCCTACCTCAAGGAGCAAGGTATAGATGCACGCGACGGCGGCTTCGGCGGATTCTGCACCCATAAAGTCAACCATCTCGTCATGGATTTCCTTCATCGTTTTTTGGTTCCCGATCATAACGACAATGTATTCCTGCGAACGACGTCGATAAGGTCCCGTCCACCCATCACGCGAGGAACATACCGCCATGACACCCTCAACTTCCTGTTCCAATACTTCGCTCAGCTTTTCCACGATACGCTGCTGGAATGCAGCCTTCGCGTCGGCGTCTACGTGCCCGACAAAGTTGGGGTCGTATGGCGCAGACATCTTTGTCGCGCGGTGGGGGAGGTCCGAATGAACGTGGGATGTGGGGATATCGCGTGGTGGAGTTTTATCTCCCCCGAAACGTACGTTTAAAATCTAGGATTTCTTCCGTCTTCCCTTTACTATGGAATTTTTCTTCTTTCGAATTGAATTCCAAAAACGTTAAAGAATAAAACGTTATCATCTCGAAGGGATGGTTGCGATGTCCCAACCGAACGCGATGCCGCGGCGCGACTTGGACGTGGATCAGAGGGCACAGGCTCACACTCCACGCTTCCGTAGTACGTCTGCCACCGTTGCATACCAGCTTTGTGTCGCCATGCATCGTCGCTCCATTTTGGAGATTGTCCTTGAAAGCGGACACTAGTGTGTGGGTTGATGGAGGCAAGGACAACATCGTCCTGAGCGAAGAGTCCCAACTCTCTTCCGCCGCATCTGGAATGCCTACCGTCCCTGCTTCCGTATTCAGTACCGAGAGGTTGTTGCACAAGTTCATGACCCCAGTCATGGTACGTGCTGCCGCAATGTGTCGTCCAAGTCTGTGACACAATCATGTTTCTGTCAGTTGTGAGTCCTTGCGGTGAGCTCCGGCTTCCCGCCGACACAGTAACTTGTTTCACGCACTCGGGACGGCCGCGCACTTGTCAGCCGCGGACGATGACCTTTTCCTGCCACTCGTGCATCGTTGGCGGCCGCCGCCGCCGACAGGTGCCATTTGGACCGATTAAGTGCGCCCTGGATTGAGGTCCAAGCGTACTTTAGCCGCGTTTTAGCACTCTGATTGGTGAAATTTCTAATTGGCCACCAACAGCGCGTTCTCCCCATCGCGATGGCATTTTCGAATCGCTCGGATTCAGGTTACCGCCGCATCTCCGCCACCTCGATCCCCGAACCATGTCTGTGCAAAAGCCCACCAAGCCCACCGGTTTTGAAGGCGAGGAATCTCGCATTCACCGCATCCGCATCACCTTGACGTCGCGCAACGTGAAGAACTTGGAAAAGGTCTGCGCGGACTTGAAGAAGGGTGCTGTCGACAAGAACCTCAAGGTTGCCGGCCCGGTCCGCCTCCCCACCAAGATCTTGCGCTTGACCACGCGCAAGTCTCCTTGCGGTGAAGGTACCAACACGTGGGACCGCTTCGAAATGCGCATCCACAAGCGCATCATCGACTTGCACTCGCCTTCGGAGATCGTAAAGCAAATCACTTCCATCTCGATCGAACCTGGTGTTGAAGTCGAAGTCACGATTGCCGACTCCAACTAAATCGTGTGTCTTAATCAATGCTTCACGGAAGGACGACGCAGATGCCTGTGTGTCCTTGGCACTTTTGCAACGACCATCTCCATTGTTCTTCTGTTCTTGCCACTCGTGGTGTCGCAAAACCCGAGCGCTGTCCTCAATTTCCACATCTACAGTGGCATCCTCGTCATGAGCCCGCCATTCGAGAGTATACCAGGGCGATTCGGATCGTTGCGGCCAGGACCTTTCATTCGGTTTGGGCAGTGGACGCCAGATTCCGCTGCTTGTTACCTGTGTGTGGCTATGAGCAAGATGTGCGGCTGCCCCACACTCTTGATCTTTGGGACCTGTCTTCTGGTCGGCTTGCATGACGCGGTGATCGCACCGAGCTTGCTTCGTGTGGAGGCGACTGGTGCCCCTTCACCTGATTGTTTCGAGCTGTGGACAAGCAGAACGACGCGGTGGCCCTGCGCAATACACCGTGGGCATGCTTGACTCACAAGACTTCTCTGATTGCCGAGCGCACATGGACCAACGCGAGAAGGACACACTCCATACCCAGCACTTGCATACCGTCATGGAACGCTGGACGTTGTGCCTTTCGGCGAGAGGAAGAGTCGATGGCGCTTAGAATTCGAGTTGGTACGGGTCGAAGGAAGCCACGAGCACTCATCAGGCACAGCTGACGTTGCGATGGAAGATGCATCGGGGATCGAATTGATAACGTTAAGGTGGACTTCTATTTTGGGGGAGGCGGCCGGATGATGGAAAACTGATCGTCTGTTCGCGCGTACGCGTCGCCACCTAAGCGGCCGACTAAATGTGTGAGAGTCGTGTCGATCGAGTTGCCGTCGTGGCCAAGGACCGCGTTGTCGACGGCGATGTGGACGACGTTGAGGAGCACGACGCGGCCATTCCCAATGTCGAGCGTATCTCGTAGGGTGCATTCAAAGCGCACGGACGAGTTGGCAACGCCAGGAACGCGGACGACGGAGCTGTGGACGGTCTTGATGGCGAGGGCGTCGATCTCGCTCGTTCCGTAGGGGTAGTCTGCGCAAGTAGCGTTCATCGTGGCTGCCATGGCGTCGCTGACAACGTTTACGACGCACTCCTTTGTTTCGAGCAGATTCACGACGGTGTCCTTGTTCTTGCGATGCGGACCTGGATACACCTGCGTGACGGCAAAGATGGGCGGGTCAACCGACACCACAGTGAAAAACGAGAACGGCGCGAGGTTCGTCACGCCTGCTCGGTTTATCGTGCTGATCTACATGTAGGATGAATGCCGACGCTGTCACAGTCGCGGTCGCGCCGTTGACGTACCCAAGCAATCGGCCGCGGGACGACGCCGCCCGTGAGGAGCTGGTACAGCGTGCGTCCGTTGCAGGACGCCGGGTCAAAGTGCGTCGCGTCTGGAGGCTGAGCGATATCGACCGACGGGAGATCTGCGCTTGGGCACATCAGCGCAGCGCGTGGAGAATGCAGATGTGTCGCCGTTGCTGCCGTGGGGCCTGTTGATGTGATTCGAATGCCGATATGATGTGACTGTTCAAGGTGCATAATCCCCATATCTCACCAATGGGTCGACGGGTGGAACTTTATTAATAAGACGTCAAATCCTTCTTTGGAAATACATACACACTCGTCAATTTTATAATATTTCTCCAAAATGAAGCCAAACGTGCCTCCAACTGCTGGCCCACACACACGAGACAAGCGCAGCGATGGCGCCCCTTGGCCTCTCGGTGGATGAGTCGGCGCGACGGTGCGCTCTAGCGTTGTCGACGGATCGGCCACGGAGAGTCACGCTATCGGCAGTAGCATAGAAATGCATCGTTTGATCACGTCGGTTCAGCACGTACTACGAATCCTCCCGGCAAAGGCATGTCCTTCGCACACGACGCTAAGCTCGGCCTCCGTCGCGAAGCATGGCCTAGGCTAGGCCATCGCAGCTGCCGCCGGACCTGTGGTTCGGCGCTTGAGTGGCGGCATCGGGTCATGACGCGCTCTTGGTCAAATGACTTGGGGTATAAAACAATCCAATCCAATCATTTAACGCAATGTACAGGCAAAACGTTTTAATCGGATCGTCGTCGGGACGTTGTGGGGATGCCTTGGAAGGGCACGGAAGGCATGCCGCGATGCCGCGGCAATCAATGCCCGCGACCACACCGACTATGGGCAACGCATTGTGTCCACACAGGGCGAACCCCGTTGAACAACTTTGTGCGCAATGACATGGCCGTTGTCGAATTTGGGCGTCGACAGCACTTTCCATGCGGGCAATTGCAGCGGAATCCACGACCCGAGCGACTTGTGCACAGCGACAGCACGAGGCGGGTATCACGAATTGGACGATGCGCTCCATGTTAGTTTGATTCCAAGAATCGACCGTTTGCAGCACGCCACCAACGCGAATCGGTCACGACGACGATTCCCCGCGAAGACGTGGACGCCTTGAGACAATTCTGCGTTCGATGAGAGGGATGGGAGGGGGTTGCCGTGGTCGCGCCATCTTGGATTACGACGACGATGCTATGAGCGCTTCCAATGTGTTGTCGAGCTTGGCGTTGACGGTCTTGGTGTACTGCTGAAAGTCCAGTTCGACCCTCGACAATGTGTGCACGTGTTGCTCAAAAGTGTCACGAAAGAGGGTAGCCCAGCCTTTGGGAATGTCCGAAGCAGCTTTCATGTGGTCGTACACTTGGCCGAGACCATGCAGCGCGGGGCGAAGTGTCTGCGCCAGTATTTCAGTATTTCATTCGACATGACGGACCTACCTGCTGCACCCACGCGAGCTTTTCCATGCCTATACCTCGCACGCCATCCACAAGCCTCGCCGTGAGCTCCGCGTGAGCTGCAGCTCTCTGCACCCAACCGTGAGACCACCATGACGCATGAACATCGCATTCGTACATGTTTATATCCAGCCAATTCGGTCGTGATCGACTTGAGTTGGACATCGCGGCCCGCCTAGTTGCATCACAGGATTTTCGAGCATGTCCCTGCATCCGAAGCGGGCATTTACATACCTCGTACATGGCCAAGCGATTGAGATGCATCGTGAGAACCTTGTCCTTCTTTGGCACTAACTGCACGATATCTTGCGCTCGGGGCTCGCTTGTAAGTCTACTCTTCAATGTAAACACGCGCCATCGGTGCAGGATTTTGGTGCACGCACTTGGTCCCAGGGCCAACAGGGTGATGGCACACTGCGCTTCCGAACAAGGCCACTTCCTCGACCACCGCGCGAGTGGCTGTCGCCAATGGACTCGTCTGCGATTCACGCGATGACGTCGAGCAGAGTCGACTCGATGGATCGTACCACCGCTGCTAGGTCCCCGTTGTCCTTACGGTCCATCAGGGCAAGAGTTAGAGAATCCAGCCGTCGGACGCACTCTGACAACGCCGTCTCCAACGCATGGAGCCGATCGAAGCGCAGATGAGTCAGCTGAGGCACGTCTACGAGAGCTCAAGTAAGGAATAATCGACAATGCAAACGACGAACGTTCGGGGCCGATGGACGCATGATGGTCATGGATGTCACTGAGTAGCACTGCATTGCGATCGTGCATGACATCGGCGTTGTATCGCAGGGGCAGCTCCATGCTGCATTTCCTCTGCAACTGCCCCAACCGGCTTTCGACTAATTTTAACTCCTGAAGATCGCGGATCTAGTCAATCGCAGACATATCCAAGGTGTTGTACCGCCAAGAGAGCGCTCGGAACTGCAAACATCCACTTGTCGGGCTTGCCCTTGCTCTGATCCGCGCCGGCAGCCGCAGCGTCCTTCTCGCCTTCCTGCACAATAGCCACAAGGGATGACACGACATGTGCCAGGTCGTCATGGGAGTGCTGTCGCATGTGCACCGCTTCTGTAAGCATATCGACCTGTGCATGGCACGGTGCGTTCATCATTCGGTCCGATCACGTCGCCAGCGAAGACAGGAAAACGCGAGCTACCAACATCCACCGCTGCGATTTACCTGGCGCTGGAGCTGGAGGTTCTGCGCTTGTAGGAGTCGCACTCGGCGGGTCGATGGTACACTTCCTGCGCGAAGTTCAAGTTGTTTGCGATCGTAGGAAAGAAAGGACGGAGGCACCTTTTCCGTCGGGGGATGCATCCATCGCAGCGTCATGCAAAGCCATCAAGTCTTCCATTTTCTTTTTCAACGCTGCGTTTTCAGCCAAGGCAGCTTTGAGCTACCCCATGCAGCAATTGTGAAAAAAGCTCCATGAGGTGAATAAAGGAATCAAAAGTTCATCGGTCAGACCTTTTGAGTCGTCGCACTGGTTTGTTTGGCTGGCCCTTCGTGGGATGACGGCTGGATCTCAGGAGTTGAGCTCATGGTTGGAAAGGCACTTGCGTCGGGGAATTGCCGAGGAGGCTGCCGCCCATCACTTGACGAACTGAGATGACGTTTCATGTATGGCAGCGACGGCATCGACGGCGAGGCATCGCGTTGCGCTAAGTCGGTGCAGTCGCTGTTCCAACTCGGCCGAGGCGCGGTGTCTGTGGATGGAAGCAGGCGAGTGTTGTGTGCTTTCAGCATGTCGTCTGGCGATAGCGGCGGGCTATTTGTCTCAGGGTGTTCCGGCGAAGAAGGCTTTGCTGCCGATCGACGATTGCTGCTGCCGCGGGAGAAGGACGTGGCATGAAAAGCTGAGTCGGAGGATGGAGTTGCCAGCTCCCCACGACTATGGCTGCTGTTGCTACTGAAAAGGATCGTTGATGTGTCTGTGCGGCCGGGCTGTGGTGGCGTCGGCTTCAACTCGATAACTGGTAGGACGGACTGCGCGCGAACCTTCTTTTGCGACGACTTGATTTTGGTCAAGACGATGCGCATGGCCTGCACCATGCTTCCACTTACGAGAGCACCACACCAGAACTTCGGACCTGGTAATTGCAGTCCTTATCCAACACAAGGCGCTGCCAAGTTATCATGGACGGAGCACCGATGCGCTGGATGGCAACAGAGGATGGCGTCAGAATGCACGATTAAGTTGCAGATAAACTTACAGCCAACTCTGTCTCAATGACCTTCATAAAGTCGGCACGATACGAGTCTTCACTCTTTCGCAAAGTCTCCTTGGGCCTACATTGCAAGATAATGTTGGATCATCTCGCTCCGTCCAGCAACGAAAACTTGTACAGGTCCTCGGCTTTTTCAACTGCACGTGCTTGCTTCCGATCGTCTGAAAGTGCCTTGACACGCTCATATGCCTCGCTCGAGCTTGGATTCTAGGACACATATCATGATTGCGATTGCATCCCACAGAAGTTGTTGCCTTGTGAACAAGTTGCAGCCAGATCTTCTCTTTTGTGGTCCATTTCAGCTCCTGCAGCTGCAGTGCACTCTACGGGCATTGTCTGCGAGTTAGACTCCATCAGGCTCCTTTTATTCCTTGCGCACCACATTCGGCAGCTGAAGTTCCGACGCGAGTTTGTCTGCCATCGCGGACACTGCCGCCCCGCGCTCGTTCAATTGAACAGTTATCCGGTACGTCCTCTATTATCCGGACATCCACCGCAATCTCTCCCGGTTCGTGTTCCTGCACCAGAATGGCATGAAGCGTCCCGTCCAACTCAACCCCAACTCTCATGGAACGGCGTGGGCCACGTCACCGACGCCAGCATTGACCTAGACATTGCCGTGAGTTTCAACTGGATGTGCACGGAACTGTAGTGCAGGGCCAACCTCAACTGAATCGAGTGGCTTCCGTGTTGTTCATTCACCATTGCTAAAGCCGTGTGCGTGTCACGGCACGAATGCTGCCCCACGATGGATTACCGGCATGGCAAGGCTTGGCAAACTCTGTGGAATTGTCGCCGTGAGACATGATTGTCGGAAGGATCGGTCGATGTGGGCTCGGCGGCTTCCGGAACCGTAACTACTCGCTCCTGCTTGGACACCCACGCCCCAAAAATTGGACGTTGTCGCACCCTTCATAGGGCTGGCCACTCGTCAGGTGCACCTCATCTACGGACTGCCTTTGCTCACGTGGTGCCAGTGTGCGATGGGCAGGCCGGTGCGCAACATCAATGGCTGTCAAGGTTTAACGGACGAGATCAATGCAGTCAGACCATGACATGGGGCTTCCGTGCGTCCACCATGACTGTCCTTTGTCTGCCGGGAAACCACCATAACCGAATGCTCGTGGCAATTGCGCACATGTCCGAAGACGCCCTCAGGCGTCTTTGGTTTCGCTACCATGTACCATGCCGTGCAATGCCAACGTCAGCGTCGTTCAACATCTTTAGCCACCATGGACTACTACGTTGTGAACCCGCCTGTGATGGCGGAGGGCATAGGTAGCCTCATCCTCCTGTTCGTCTTGATGAACTGATCGCATTGTGCCGGCTGCAACCTGCTCGTGCACGACCGAATTGTGGGGTTTTCGCCGATCGAGCGGCTACTCTTCTACCCTTGCGCCATCGTGGTCCTCGGTATCGCACAAACCCACCTCGAGCACTGTCGTGACGGATACACCGCCTTCTCCGTTCAAGCCTGGCCACGATGGCACTTATGGGTGAGTGTGCATGGCTCGCGTACAGCGCGACCGACGTCCAGCTCGTGTGGGGAC